ATGAGTTACTCAGTTCTTTATTTCTCAGAATGATGGTCTTTAAATACAACACCAGACTTCAGCTGAGACATATGTATTTCCAGCACACCCTCTCATTTTATGGGAAATGTCCGTCTCTTGATAATGAGTCTCAATGAGTTCAAATGAAGAGAAAGCCTCATTATATTCCCAATACAGAACAGTCAGTTGTTAATCACTAGATGAGATCATTATTTTCATTCTGACTGTTCAGTTCAAATACTAAGATTTCACAGCGCAAGATAGCCACGGTTCCTTATAAACTAATACTTCTCATTAGCTTTAAAGGAAGCACAGATGACTTATGAATCATTCTATTTATCTTCTTTCATCAATTTACTTTATAACTTTTCTACTGCAAAACATTTTATAGATGAATGATTTATGGTGTAATAAACTTAACTGCATGTGTTCACAGTTACTATTGTTTCAAAATGAGACTTTTTCTTATTGTTTTTGAAGAACATAATAAATAGCTTGTAGCCCATGTCTTATTTGTTTCTGTCTCATTAGCAATAAGTATCCCCTTAGCTAATTTAGTTAGCAAATCAGCAACCTGATCAACCATTACATTCTCCAGAAAGTATTCCAAGGGTTTTTTTTCTCAGTAGTATTTGTGTGTATACTTTGCCACTTTAATAACCCTGAAAACCAAAGTCCCTTTTATATGCATAAGAATAGGTACAGCATAGTCAATGGCCATTAAAGCTTCTTTCCAGTGCACTGTTAACATGACTCAATTGTGGTTTGGGGTTGACCAGCTATGTAGTTCATGCTCTGGTCATTTTATCCTTGGCTTTATTAATGAGGCTGCCAACATAATGGCTAATTAATACCTATCATCACAGTGTTTATGATCATTCACTAGAGGGAAGTGGAGAGGAATCACAAGGATGTTGGACACCACTAAAAGGAAGGGCAAGTCAGTGAAAGATGGACACCTCACTCCCATTTATGCTATGGAAAATATTTCAGAAGACAGAGACAGAATTTAGGGTCAAATTAATCCCTGGTTTAGGTCTACTAAAGTCAGCGAGTTTACACTAATGAGGTTGGCCCATAAGCAATAGCCTTTGGCTGCCTAGACAGTACATCTCACAATAAGATTAAACAAAGCACCATAGAATTGTCACTGGCCAAGTGTATTTAATTGGGGTATTTTTCTTCTACACCAATGGAACAGGAATCATTACTAACAATGTTTTACACCTAATGGCAACATGTTTCAGAATTCACTATACTTAATTGGCAGTGAATGTGAGTTATCGGAGGTATAAGAGCAGAGGTACCCCAAAATTATTTGTGTTTCCAATAACCTTAATACAAATAACATTCCACAAGTCTTTAAACTTTTACTTAAAATTACTTTAAATTCTATGTAAAACATCTGTCAAAAATCAAAATCAAATATGTGGACTGTCTTCCAAATGTGAAAATGATTATCCAAAGGACAGAACTCAAAGCAGTTATCACTGAAGTGGGACAAAGGGAGGTCTTAAGTGTTATACAAACCTATCCAAGCTCCTCAATAGGCAGGAGGATATAAAATAAAGCTTGAGAACTGGGTCAAAACAACTTTATCTGTCAAATGAATGGTCTCCTTCTTCACAAGTCATGACTATTCAGTCAAGCTAGGAATTCAACTGAGCACATTGCTAATTACATTTATAATAATATTTACTGACACAGCTCAAGTTGCCAGTACATTTAATCTGGAGAGTGTCTGACATGTTAACACAGAGCTCAATTGTGCTGCTTAGGCACAGCTCCACCTCAAATCACACTATCCCTGAAGAAGTTACGTGAGGAGCTCTGCTTCCAAGAAGCAAATGTCTCTCAGAACTCGAGAGCCAACTGCTATATTCCCTTACCTTGGACAACATATTTTGCCTTGCTACACCAGTCCCATTTTGTGGCCCCATGGGAGAGGAATTTGCCATCACTTTTATCCTGTCCCACCTTTCTATGGTTAGACAAAGCCAGCAAACCCCAGGGCTGAATGTACCCAATAGTTTCTAGTCACACCAATATAAGAACATAAGACTGGCCATACTGGGTCAGACCAAAGGTCCATCCAGCCCAGTACCCTGTCTGCCAACAGTGGCCAATGCCAGGTGCCCCAGGGGAAGTGAATCGAACAGGTAATGATCAAGCGATCTCTCTCCTGCCATCCAACTCCACCCACTGACGAACAGAGGCTGGGGGACACCATTCCTTACCCATACTGGCTAATAGCCATTTATGGACGTAGCCTCCTTGAATTTATCTAGTTCTCTTTTAAACCCTGTTATAGTCCTAGCCTTCACAACCTCCTCAGACAAAGAGTTCCACAGATTGACTGTGCACTGTATGGAAAAGAATTTCCTTTTATTTGTTTTAAAGCTGCTGCCCATTAATTTCATTTGGTGGCCCCCAGTTCTTATATTATGGGAACAAGTAAATAACTTTTCCTTATTCACTTTCTCCACACCACTCATGATTTTATATACCTCTATCATACCCCCCCTTAGTCTCTTCTTTTCCAAGCTGAAAAGTCCCAGTCTCTTTAATCTCTCCTCATATGGGACCTGTTCCAAACCCCTAATTATTTTAGTTGCCCTTCTCTGAACCTTTTCTAATGCCAGTATATCTTTTTTGAGATGAGGAGCCCACATCTATATGTAATATTCAAGATGTGGGCGTACCATGGATTTATATAAGGGCAATAAAATATTCTCCAACTTATTTTCTATCCCTTTTTAATGATTCCTAACATCCTGTTTGCTTTTTTGACTGCCGCTGCACACTGCATGGACGTCTTCAGAGAACTATCCACGATGACTCCATCATCATTTTTATTCCAAAAAAATATGAATTTTAACCATCAATACCATTTTCTGCAAAGGAAATTCTACAATGAAAGCTTCCAGCAAGATCTGTCATCTCTCAAAACAGTTCATGTATTGGCTGTCATGAAATGAACCATTGTCAATTGCTTTCTTATGATTCACTGCAGTGTCTCTTTCTTCAGATGCTGCATTTAAATGCTACCATCCCTTGAACTTTACTTGTCAGTTACCTGGTGTACATACACTGGAATGATTTGACTTCAATTAGAAATGTCTAGTAGCTCTTTCAAAAAAGAGTTCAGCCTATGCCCCCTGCCTCCCCTCCATTTAAGCCTCTAAAGGAAGTAGCCAGATTTTTGGAAATGCTCAGCACCCAGCAGCTCCAATAATTTTCAGTGCTTAAAAGCACATTCACAATACCACTTTTCAGTAAGGTATATTTCCCCACTGAGAACCTAACTGAGCTCAACCAGTCAGAGATTGCAAAGACTTACACAATCTCTTAATGATAGGTAACTATATATACATGGAATATTCTGAGCGGGGTTCTCAACCTTTCTCTGGCCATAACATTGCTTTTCAACCTGTGACTTCTGTTGCCATTTTCAATCAACGTGTCTCACGTACTGGTATCACTTCATGGTAAGTGTTGGCTTACCAATAGCAGCCACTGTTTGTCATCATCTCTTTTATTTCTGCCATAATTCACCAATTTGACAGAAACACTGAATGTGTGTCATGTGTGCAGCTGATTAATTACTTTAAAACAGTTTTACATAGACCAAAAGAATACATTTCCTTGTGTACTCATAGCTTGTTTGATCTGGAAGTGAGGCTAGAATCCCTTTTGTGGATTCTCACACGTAAAAATACTAAGACAATTCATGTTATCAGGGTCATATTCATTCTCCTCTCATTTACACCTGTACAACTTCACTTTCAAAAGGATTCCACGGTTTTTACATTGGCCCCCCTACAGCACATTGGGTTCACGCCTTTGTCCAGCAATAATTTTCTAGTCCTCACTATTATGCAAGAGAGAGCTCAGATATCAGTGAAAGAAACTTCCCCTGGTAAAACAGAGATGATAATGCCAGTTTATTAAATGGCAATAACACTTAGAAAATTCCCATTAATTAAGAGCAGTTACAGCGGTATGCATAGGCCTCAGCACAAGAATAGTACCTCTGAGCTGGACTGGTTTATTCACAAAGGCCAGTAAAGAAACATATGTCAGGACAGAGTGAAGATTCATATGCAGTCTCTGAGAAAGAAGTTAATGTAACATTCCCTAGCTTGCTGACTGATGTATGATGGTATTGTTGTTATAACTAAGGCAAAGAACAACTTTGACAAAACAAGCTTGACCCAGGTGTCTTGACTAGGAGAAGTGTCTCTTTTATAGCTGTGGTGTACGGACTGCAAGAGTGCTGGTTCAACAGCATGTTCTGTGATAATACACAGAAAGTGAATTCAAGTCTGGACAGACATTGAATGTCACTGCCTTTCTAAGCAGAAGGATGTCACTAACTCATTTAAAGAGTGATGGATTACAGAGGAGAATTCTTAGGATAACTGGAAGCCTCTATAGTCAAAGAGTTCATGTTAACCTGGATATTATATAATTCGATATGTTTTTCCTTGTGCCATTTTCCTTTGCACGCTATAACAGTTTTCTGGTTCTCTCTTTCTGCTAATTAAATCTTCTGCTTACAAATAGAACTAATAGCTTGAACCAGATATTTGCAGCATCTGAGGAGGAGCTGAGGTAAAGCTATGATTTTCATGAATATTCTTTGTAGTTCATCCAGTAGAGGTCTGCTACACTGGTAAAAAAATTACCCAATGATTACACAGAACATAGTGATGTTTAAGTCAGCATGTAAAAAAGTATTCTCTTAGATACCATGGAAATAAATATTTCAGAACTGCCTAGACAGGTATTTTGTAATGTAAAAGTCTAACCATGCTTGCATGCACACAGAGATTTGGGCATTATGAATAAATAGTTGAACTCCAACTATCAATGAGGCACAATAAGCACAGTGCCTACAGCCTATGAAAAGTTTAGAGCCTAAAAACATCATAATTGACTCAAAAATCAGAAAAGAAAACTGATAAATCAAATTTAATAATTTGCTATCTTTAGTCAACAAACAATATACAAGTGCATATTATACCTGATGATTCTAAGAACCCTCATTGTATGTGTAATGCTTTGGGTTACCCACTGTGATGCTTTGGGTTCAACCTAGCCGCCAGAGGGGAAGTATCACTGCCTGCAATTTAAAAAATCAGTAGTTAATATAGAAGGAGTTAAAGTCAGGGCTGGATTGAGGTCTTTAAAGGCTCTTGGCACTCTCATAATTGTAGGCCTTTAAATTAGATTATATATAAATACTTACAGGAAAGATGTCATATCACTTATATGCCTCATATCACACACTTCAATTTTTGCTCTTGAAAGTGGCACACCATGCGAGAAATTCATGTCACTTCATTCTAAAATAAGGTATGTCCAGAGGCAAGGAAAGGCTCATTTATATGCAAGGTGAATAAAGCCATCAGGAGAGCAAGCTGGGACAGGTGATCACTTAGTCTTAACAAGGATGGAGACTGTATCAGGAAGCCTTCTTGCTTCTTGAGACAGGGTAGTTGAATTTTGGGAAAACAGCAGGGCAAAAAGATGCTTTGTTTGGGCTCACTTCTCAGATCATACATTTCAAAGGTTTACTGGAATATAAAAAGAAAGAGGAAAGAATCAAAACTTACATGTCACTTGAGGAACCAAAGAAACCAGCACTTTGATTCTGTAAGGCTACACTGCATGGCTATTTCAGGATATCATAAGTATCCCGGAATAGCTATCCTGCATCTACACAAACTGTCTCTTATTTCAAAATATTTTTTGAAATAGCGGATGCGCTATTTCACTATCCCAGTAAACTTTGTTGCATGAGGGATAAGGAATGGCATGAAATAGCACATTATTTCGAAATTTGGTGCTGTGTAGATGTGCCAAATTTAAAAATAGCCCATTTTGAAATTAATCAAAATAAGATACATGATTTGTGTGGTAGCTGTAAGTAGAGAAAACCATCTTGAACAAGAACTTTAGCAGATTAATTTAAATCTTAAAATCACTTTTTTTTTTACTTTTGTTGGTTTGTAACCATTTTTACCTCCATTCTTTCCACTTGCTTGTCTCTTGCTGTTGATGTCAGGACCGTGAGCCACAGCAGCATACCATTTAAAAACCCCAGAGTTTCCAGGCATCTTCATCTAATCAGCAGTTGTTAACTTTACCTAGCTATAATCTGCCATTCTGCTTGATGCACCTTTTTCTCGCCTGTTATTCATCTTAACCCTTCGTAGATAACCACTTTGGTTTTTGCTTCAGGTGTGTGCTAATTAGCATACTTGCATGCTAATTCTAATGCTTCTCACATATTGAGTACAATGATCTTCACTTAGTAGAAAATTACAGGTAAGTTTTTAAAGAGTGACTGGAGTTGTGGGGTACTTCAAGTTTATAGTGTATCAAATTGGTCACCGAAAGGGGTAGGGGCCTACATCATATACAAAATCAGGGCTCTTTAAGCACTACCAGGATAAACAACTAAAAAAGGGAAACTGCCTTTTTAGGCTGGGCTGATGATAATTCTGGTTCTCACAGACTTCCTGATGTGAAGTATTTGTACACCACTAGAACCCAGACACCAGTTAGAGGTAGAAAAGTAATAAATATTTTCCATTTTGGTTTTAATATTTACCCATGAAGAAGTCACTCTCAGACTATGTTTCTGGTTCTTTTGACAAACGGTATGCCTACTAATGGCTAGTGTCAGCTTGAATGAACATTAATCTAAGATACATGCCAACCCAGGAGTGGGTAAATTAAGTCACTGCACAACAATTTGTACATAGAAATAAACTTTTCCTGTAATAAAGAATGGGTTATTAAAATTAAGGCATTTCGAAAAAAGTAACCATTGAAATCGTGTAGTGCATTTTAGTTCTTGAATGCATCTAGTATCACAAATTGTGTCTTAGTAAAGCAAAGACAGCTCATCATAAATGTCACTAACTTTTTAAACACTACTGTGCACTGACTGGTGTAATATATAGACCCTTTGTTCCAGCATTTCCCTAAGTGAGCTTTGAATGTACTATACATTTGACTGGTCACAGTCACTGAAGACATATTGAAAAAATAAACAGAACAACTTCAGGGTAAAAACGCTGCTCTTTAAACTCTAAGTGGGTCTTACCCATGAAAGCTCATGATAATATATATTCTTTTTAGTGTAAGGAGCCTCAGGACTACTCATTTTTAAAGTTACAGACTAACATGACTACCCTCTGAGGCTTTGTCAATTAGGGTTGCTGTATTTTTTATGAGACTAACTCTTCAGATAACATCCTCAAAATAACTAATTTCTCTGTCATTGGAGCATGAAAAATGTACACGGTATTTTAACAATACCTTTTCAAAAAGAGTTAATGCCCTGAATTGGTTCCAGATAGATATACCAAGCATATATTTACACTTAGACTACGTCTACACTACGAGTTTTCTCAGCAAAAAATATGCTAATGAGGGACTAATTTGCATGAGTCACATTCTCATTTGCATATTTTCTGCCTATCCGTTTTTGAGCTAGGGGTTTTTGCGCAAAAACAAGCAGTGTGAACATTTTCTTTTTGTGCAAAAACACCTTTTCCCGCAAGATCCTTATACCCCAAAAAAGGAGTAAAATTTGAAAGTCTAATGAATTGAATTAAGGGTAGACACTCTTACAAGAACATTGCAAATTAACAAAAAGCAACCGTTAAAAGCCAGAAAATTTGCAATCAACCAAAGCATTTGCAGTTAAAGCACTCAACTTACCTTATTAAATCAGATTGATTGATGAATGACTCACAATCAGACAAAAGGGATAAGATTTTAATTAATATTATTTACAATAAGTCATTTGATCATGTTTCTTATCACACTCATATGCACACACACAATATGCATTCAGCTGTGCACTAACTAGATTCTGATCTCATACTGGTATAAAATTCCATTAACTCCAGTGGAACTACTCACAACTTTACAGGTACAGATCAAAATCAAGCCCAGTTCAAATAAAAGTTAGAGAAGTCAAAGTTTGGGAGTGTTCAGAACCATAGTTTGCTTTATCTAGTATAAATATAAAAAACACTTACAAAATTCAAATCTGGATGTAAACGTTCGTGTACTTCAGAGGATGTTCAAAGCCCACCTGCCATTTATACATTTTAAAAATATGCATTAGTATTACTGAACAGAAACAAAAATCAGGTTATCCCCTACACTCCGCATGATCATTTCCCAAACAATAGGATTGTCAAAATCATTTCATCTCACCTTTTTTCTACATAAGGGACCAATTCTTCCATCCTAATTGATATTCAGTGTTCCCTTTTCCACAGGTAGATGCATTGATTTAATTAGGAATACTCATGGAGTAACCTCCCAGTCAATGTGAAAAAGGGTGGCAAAAATGGACCCTCCTAATATTATTTAACCCCTAGTTACTCCTGATAAGTGTTTTTGTTTGTCATTGAATATGAATCTCCAATAGATGCTTTACAGCTCTCCTAATTACAAAGTGGATTTTGCACAAACCATGGTACTACATTTTATACCTCAAGAAAGACTTTGGGCCAACATTCCCTCGTTTTTAAATTCCCTGCATTTCTTATCTTAAAAAAGTTACATCCAAGTATCGGACTTTTAGGAATATTTTCCAAGATAAATGTGTGCTCTCGGTTTCTCTCTATCCGTTGGATATGCAGACTGAAGCTTCCGAAACGGAGACTGCTCTGACTACTTTGACACCGCATCCCAAGACTGACCTCTTCCCATATTGACAACTGCTGTTTTCAGTAGTGCTATTCATTGTTTACCATCAGACATGCCTTTTGTTGACCAAAATGCAGACTATATAATAGTACAATAAAATAAACATAGAAAAGTATCTACATTTACTGCTGATGTTTAAAGAACACCTTTACAAGCTAGAAAATATGCCACTATTAGAAAACCATATCAAATCCTTCTCACAAACAATAAATGTTAAAGCTACACATCCATTAAAGTTTATTATGCCACAAGATTTCAATAACTGGCCGCTTGCCTCCTGATAGAGAAAAATATTTTTTGAACTGCTGCTAGGTAGCAACATGAGAAAAGCAATGACATGAGTAAAGTATTGGGAAAAAAGAGTCCAGTGAAACTCAGTAGATATCTTTCTCTGGTTTCTGTGAAAAGACATAGGGTGTGTCTACACAGCACTTTAAGCTCGAAATAAGATACGCAATTTGCATAGTGCAAATTATGTATCTCTAATCCATTTTGAAATAGCTTATTTTGAAATCTGGTTAGTCTACACAGCACCAAATTTCAAAATAACATGCTATTTCAAGCCATCCCTTATCCATCGTGCAATGAGGTTTACCAGGATAGTAAAATAGTGCGCCCATTATTTCAAAAAATATTTAGAAATAATGGGTGGCTTATGTAGACACAGAGTAGCTATTACGGGATACCCTTGGTATCCCAAAATAGCCATGCAGTATAGATGTACCCTTAGATACATCTCATGCGCTCTTTCAATGGTGACCATCTTAACAACATTCATGTAGCTCTATGTAAACACTTGTTACACTAAAACAGCATATTTTGTGTCTGGTGATTTATAACCTTATTTTTTGACATCTGTGAATGAACCATGTTTATAAGCAGGCTGATTAATTAATGGTTTCTCAATTCAATTATGACTTCATTGCTACTTAAACTGATATCCATAATATTATTTTATAGCTTCCAGAAATTCATTTTTATAGCTAATTTAGCACAGAAGCACTAGGTATTTTTTCACCTTTAATTTCTAGTGTGTGTGGTGACAGTAGATGACAGGTCACTGCCATCACCAGAATAATGATAGGACTTGTCTTGTGTGTTGGTGATGCATAGAAGTGTATCAGTAGCTCAATACATAGCAGTGTCACAAGCAGTTTGCATCATTATTCAGAGTAGAAAATGTACTACAGGTAATGTGAGTGTGTGTGCGTGCATCATTATATCCAGTGGGATTACTGTGTCTTTACAGCACTGTGTAGTAATATGCAATAACTATAATAACTCTTCACCATGGGATATTTGGTTAGCCAAGGAGAAAAGTATAAGCAGGTGAAGTCCCATCAGTTCATGCTTGGTGTAATGTCCATTGGTTTCGTGCAGCTGCTCTTCACTGCAAACAGAGAACTGGAACCAATGGGAGCCAGTAAATAAACAAACCGGAGTGGCCAGTTAGCAGGTTTCTCAGAGTGGGTCCGTGGATCACTTTGACAAACACTGCATTAGACTGATACATGCAACTGAATTCATGAAACAGCATCCAAAGATAGTAATAGAGATGTAGCCGTGTTAGTCTCGTCTAGCTGAAACAAACAACAGGGCTATGTAGCACTTTAAAGACTAACAAGATGGTTTATTAGGTGATGAGCTTTCATGGGCCAGACCCACTTCCTCAGATCAAATTGTGGAAGAAAATAGGCATCTTCCACAATTTGATCTGAGGAAGTGGGTCTGGCCCACGAAAGCTCATCACCTAATAAACCATCTTGTTAGTCTTTAAAGTGCTACATAGTCCTATTTTTTGTTTCATCCAAAGATATGCCAGGAGGAAAATGGTTCAGTCTGGTCTAATCCTCATTTGTCTGTTTAGATAGGTGAGCTTAAGATGGATAAAGCAGGGAACCAAAGAGTAAAAAAGAATGGAATATAGGACAACATTCTGTGTGGGAAATTCAAGACAGTTTCAGCTCAGAGTTCTGGTGTGTGCTTTCACACCAATGATACTGTGTGTGTGTGAGAGAGAAATGAAATTAGTGATGGCAAGAAAGCTAAACATAGTTAGGGATTTGATGTAGGTGTGTTCCACAAAGAAGGAAGGTGTGTTCTCCAAGAATAAAGAGGAGCACAATGTTGTGAGTGAAAGACAAAGGAGAGAAATGAGGAAAAATACAGCAAGCAAGAGGACCCTTGGGAAAAACGAGAGCTGAAGTATAAATAATGGAATGGAAAAGTTTCACGGAGCCTTGAAGTTGAGAACACAAAGTTTGAATTAGGCCATCAGGCTCCCCGAAGAGGGTAACTGCCCCAGGGTCTGGTGATTCAAAAGGGCCCGAGGCTGGCTGTGGCTGTTGCTACTGCAGCAGCGGCTGTTGCTAGAGTCTTCCACTCTTTTGAATTGCCGGTGTACTCTGACCAGCGCTGAGGCTGCCTGGGGGAAACTTTAGCACTAGTCCCATCCCTTCTGCCCAAGATCCCACCCCTAATGGGGGGCACAGAACCACCCCTCCCCCTTGCCCAGGGGCCTGGTGAGGTTGTTGGTCCCATGGTAGACAATAAATGAAATGTAGCCATTAAAGTGGGAAGGGGAAGGGAAGCAGCAGAAAAGCAAGATGATTTCCACAGCAGTCAGCTCTGCAGGCATGGTCACTTATTTCACTACTGGGCTATTCTGGGATTTTTCTTGCTGCGCATTGTGGGATGCACAGCAGAAGTTAGGCAGAAGCACAGCATGAGCCGTGCAGTTACTAAGAGTTACTCTGTTTAAGTGTTTGAGTCATGTGTATGTAGGCCATCACAATGAGTACAAACTCAAGAACACAGTAACCCCCAACCTCATATAGGCAAGACCCCTGAATGAAATCCAGGATTTGATTTAAAGACTGCAAGAGATGGAGATTTTGCCATATCTGCAGATAAATTATGCCAGAGGTTAATGGTTCTGCTAATTAACTTCCTTGTAAAAATTTACTACATGTTTCCAGTCTGAATTAGTCTAGATTTAACGTCCAGCCTTTGGGTTTTGTTAAGCCTTTGTGAGTTAAAAAGTCCTTTGTTATCAGAAAACGTCTCCACTTTTAAATCCTTATAGACCAAGCCACTTTTAAAAGCTTTCTTCCACGAACTTCATAGATTGATCATCTAAAATCTTTAGTTCTTTTCTGAACTCTGAAGTTTTTAACATCCTTTTGGATGGATGGACACCAGAGATGGATCTATAGTACACTTTCCACTCAGCATTACACAACATATATCTCAGGACTGCATTTGGTCTCTTATGCACAGCATTGCAGCTAGCACTCACATTTAGCTAGTTATGAACATGGTTTGCAAGTCCTTCTCAAAGTCACTGCTTTCTGGCAATCAGGGTATGTCTAGACTACAGGGTTTTGTCGACAAAAGTGGACTTTTGTCGACAAAACTAAACCTGCGTCTACACTACCGCTGAGTTCTATCGACATAACGTCGACGGAACTCAGCAGTTTTGTCAACGCTGGTAAACCATATTTTACGAGGAATAACGCCTTCTGTCGACAGAAAGCGTTATTGCATCTAAACTGTCCTTTGCATCTACACTGCCATGTCGACAAAGCAGCTTGCTTTGTCGACAAAACTGAATGTAGTCTAGACGCTCTTTGTCGACAGAAGCTATGTCGACAGTATCTGTCGACAAAACTTCTGTCGACAAAAGCCTGTAGTCTAGACGTGCCCTCAGTCCCCCATGCTATAAGTGTGGCCTACATTCTTTGCTCCTAGATCTCCTTCATGTGCCTGGATTAAAATGCACATTGTTCCGATAAGCCCAGCTTCTCTGTGATATTTCCCTGTGGATCATATAGGTCTGTCAGTCATGTAAACTTCACTGGGAGGCAAATCTCATGTCCCTGATTACAGAGTCAACTCAGGACCGGAGGAATGCAAAAGTATCTTGAAGCCACCTTTGCACCAGCCTCCACTTGCAAGCTGAAATGTGTACTCATTAGCACCAGCCACTAAGCCATACATTACATAAAATCTCAGGATTTAATAATTTTAAAAACCATTCAGAGACTCACAGTGAAATTGTATTGTATTTTAATGTTAATGTGATATATGGCTTGAGGATGAATACATGACTTGTGGGCCTAATAACAACCAGTCCTCAGACTCCAGAGTGGCTACATGTAATATACTTGCAAAGATTCACTAGCTGAAAATACTCAAGAAGAATGTGAAATATTAATGATTGACTTGGATTGCATATCTCGTTTGATGTTGGATTCGTTGTATGGTACTGTTCATTTGGACAGAGCAGCAGCCTCTGTTCCTCTCTTTCACAAATAAAATCTAATAAATAGAGGCAACTAGTAACAACAGATATACTGGAGTTTCCTACTTTTCCAT